CCATCTTAATAAAGTATGTATTTTTTGTCTTAAGAAATCGCCGATATTTCCATTTGTAACCTTAACTGTGCTGCGTTGCTGGATACAGAGTAGGTTGAATATTTCAATGTTAAGTTTTTTTCATAATATTTGTGGGAATTTTTTTTGCATCGGTCTTAAATATATTTAAATTTTGGTTAATGGATAATTGAGTTTGTATGTTCTTAATAATATTTTAATCCAGCGTATATATTTTCTCTGGATTGTGCTGGATTAACAGCACGATTAAAGGTGACACGACAGCCATTTTGAATATATTGTTTCTAATTTTGCCCCCTAGCAAATTCAGCAAAAAGTTTGTATCTGGTGAATTACAATTAGCCATTTTTTGTTTGTTATTTACTCTAACGAGCGGAAAAGCCTCCCAAAAATAAGACTAAAAGGAATTGCAGACTGAGAGACAACGAGGGGAAAGTATCAAGGTCAAAGAGGTCAAGACAAGAGCGTACAGCGGTTGCGGTTGACGATAATCCTACAGTACAGGAACCAGGTCCTTCAGGGAGCATCGAATATAGTTGGTGCCAGAAAGTCAAACTCTCCCCCACTGGCCCCAGCACCTATGACTGCTTTGGCCATTGAATCTCAATCAGGTACAAGCATTGGTTATGAGAATCAATATGTAGATAGCATTCATTTACTGTCTCTCTTGTTGAAGTCTAAAATCATTAGTTCAGCATACATAGAGATTGGTTTGTTGCTTGATAACACTTCCCTGACAGAAGCTTTAGAGAAAAAAAAATTTTAATTAAAAAGGGGAGTTGGTCACAAGAGAGGTTGTTAAACCTAGCAAAAAGATTCAAATTATCAGTAGATGGACAGATGCATTCTTAGTTTACGCTAGCATTTATGCTTCAGCCCACCCAGAATCTTACCACGGTTTGCTGAAATATTTACATGACATAAAACTCGGGGCATCAAAATGTGGGGAGGGGGATTTGGGATGGAAGAAATATGACGAACAGTTTTGACTTCGCCGCAGTATCGATCACACCATAGATTGATCTAAAGTAAACTATGAGTTATGGTTGATGTTTATGTCATCATCTCCACAATCTAAACTAACAACTAGAGCAAAGCAACGAGTAGGTCTTCCGTCCTGTTTGACGGGAAGTAACTTCCATTTTTAAAAAATGACTAAATACATCCAAAAAATGGTTTAAATCCTTCAAATCTATGTTAATTTATGCAAAAATAAGCCATTTCTGCTACTTCCGGTTGTTCAAAAGATGGTTAAATTTAACACAGTGTTTTCTCTGTGTTAAATAATGTGTTAAATTTAACCACATGGTTAAGTGTTGTTCAAAATTGTGTTTGTGTTAACAAGGTGTTAAATCCGTGTTAAATTTAATCCACCTACGGTAGGTAGATAAAGAAGTTAACACCGTGATTAAATATGGCCGCCAACTTTCTAAATCACCCACCAGGACCCAGAAAACAGCGTGTTTTCCGACTTCACACGAATTAGAAGGTTGGACTGATTCTGAGTTGAGAAGAAGATACCGCTTTGGTCAGCATGGCATAAATTTTATTGGTGATGTCATCAAAAATGATTTTGAAAGAGCCACCAATAGTAACTGTGCGCTTAGCGTCCAGCATCAAGTAATGATTACCTTGCGCTACCTTTGAAGTGGCAGCTTTTTGCAGGTTGTCGGGGATGCTCTAGGTACAATTTAAAAAAGACTACAGAACATGTATTACATAATTGGTAAAAATAAACTCAAGTTGAAATTTTATTATGAAAAATCAAGTAAAATAACTAAGACACAGCACTTTGAAAATTTCGTTGTTATATCCTGTATGATTAAACAGAAACGCAGATTAAACAGTCTTTCCATATAGAAAAAATATCTATAAATTGCTTAAATTTTTAACAGGGTTTGACAAAAACAAAGTATCCCGCACCATTAAGAGAGTCAACGAAGCACTGGTTGCGAAATCTGACACTTTTATTCAATGGCCCGACGCAACAATAAAATCTTGCATCAAAACAGGGTTTTACCGGCTAGCAGGTTTCCCCAATGTAGTCGGATGCATCGATGGGACTCATGTACGGATCCAGGCTCCATCAAGAGACGAAAATTCCTTCGTAAATAGGAAAGGATATTACAGCATCAATGTCCAAGCTGTATGTGACCACAATGGTAAATATATAAACTGACTTTTTAAGGCCCCTTGTATCATTTTCGTTCGATGGAGTTTTTAAACATGTTCTTAAACTTCGTAATTGGTTTTTCACAAATTCTTTAACAATCCCTCGTCCATAAAAATCGATAGTTGTGTATTCATTGTTTAAACAATTTTTAAAATGATCTATGCTACTCTCTACCATCGGTTCATACATTCATTCTCTACCATTGGCTGTGAGAGGAAGGAATGACAACTCTGCATAGGAGATTGGATCTATGCATGTCATGTAAATTAACCTCCCCTTCGAAAAATAATGTGGCGGATCAAACTATTG